GAGAGCCTAGTCTTATTAGAAAACATATGTAATAAGGTTACAAGCAGTATCACTACATATTAATTAATACAGGGTAAATTTTTAAGATAAACAATGAATACATTGGTTGGTTGGTGCTGGACTACTGACCACAAGGTCATCAGTTCAAAACCCCCGGTGCCCCCTGGAGATGGCGCCAAGAAGGCTGTTTGAGCCCAGAAATGCAGTCATTGAGTGCAGATGGAAAATTAACTACACACATCACCTGCCTACAGAGTGCGAGAATCTTCACAAATTAAAAATATAACCCTTTCTTTGGAGAGAGGCAAGCCCTGAGGGCCCAGTGGGTAAACACTCAGCTCCTAACCCAAAAGTCAGTGGTTCAAAACCACCAGCTGCTCCACAGGAGAAAAGAGAGGGCTCTTGTACAGGTGACTGAGGCCCCAGGGACCCTAGGCAGCAGGTCTAGTCTGATCTGTACGGTTGCCCGGAGTCACAGTCCACAGCAGCGGGTGTTGTTTGGGGGCTGGATGTGGCTGTGGAGACACAAAGTCAACACTGTACCTTCCCAAGGCTTATTGCTCTAGACAGAGGGAAGTAGTTAGAGAAGAGGTCAATGCTAAGCTCTGTAGAACAGCCTTCAAGTCCAGAGCAGAGAGGCCTGGCCCGGGACAGAGGGCTGGAAAGCCTAGCAGTGAAGCTGGGATGGCTCCTGTTGGAATAAGCATACTTCAGAAATGGCAAACCAATCCTGAATTGGCCGCTGCAATTGATCTCATGGAAAGTGGTTTGAATCAACGTGTAGCTGCTAGAAACATGGTAGAAGATCACGTTCTGCCTCCTACATCTTTTCTCGGGTGCTTTATCCCACTCTCAGAGTCCTTAAGACAGGGGTGCTCACACTTTCTCAGCATGTGAGCTACTTACAAAACGATCAAGTCAAAATGACCTACCAACTACAAAAATGCAAAACATATATTTTTATTTATTGCATTTATTCGTAAATGCACTGAGAATTCTTTATGTCTACAATGTATGTTTATGTACCTTGCATAACCACATGAGTCCATAGTGCACAACACAACACAATGAACTATGTACATTTTTATTTTCATTTACTTGATGACTTGCACTGAATGGAATGAGCCAGGG